ACGCCGCCGTCGGCCTCCCTCAGCATCATGCTCACCTCGTCCTGGCTCGGTGGCTCCGGGCTCAGCCTGGTAAGCAGCGCTGCGAGCTCACTCCTGGATACCGCGCCGTCATCATCCCGATCGATCAACTTAAATGCCTGAACGAGCTCCGAGTATAAATCGCTATCTCCGGCGGAAACCTGGGACCAATCTCCGGAGATCTCTGGGAGAACGCTGATCGGCGTGGCGGCGGGCCCGGGTTTGTGATCGGCGGCGCCGCTGTATGAGCCATCGGAGGAGATGGAGGAGCTGAAGGAAGAGGGGTTGGATCTGAAGATGGAGGACCGATCCTTGGAACGGAAGAGGCGTTTGGGGCTGAGGCGGAGGAATTTAGAACTGATCGTGACGAGTTTCATGGCGATGATGAAGGAAGAGAAGGAGAGAGGACGGGCTTGAGAGGAAAGAGCGACGAAGGGAGGGTATTATATGGGTAAGGTGGAAGCCATGGCAGCTTCCTCGAAGCTTCGTCGCTGTACATTTTCTGATACTTATACCCACAATCATTGGGGCACAGTTTTCATGTTTTTCAAAAATCACCACTAACTTTACAAAAAATACTAAATAAATACCTAATTTTTTAATTTTATAAAAGTATTTCAAATGGATAATTTAAATATTAAAATATTCTAAATAAATAATAAATTTAAAAAATTAATAACAATTTATAACCTTGATTCATTTTCTAAGTTTAAAAACTAATATCTAATTTATATATTATCGTCAAAAACGAGATTGAAAATCGTTATCGATTATGTGAATTTTGTTTTTATGTTAAAAAATTAATATCTAATTTATATATCTTTTTTAGAATCGGAGTTAAAAATTATTATCAATTTTATAAATTAAAATATATATTTCAAATATTTTAATATTTGAGATATTAATTTGAAACATTTCAACATCTAAAACGTGGATTTCGTAAGTATTTATTTTTTTAATTTAATTTAAAATTATCCAATCCGAAATATGTTATAAATATAATTTCTGATTTGAAATCTATCAAAATATATTCGCAAAACCTAAACTATTTGTAGTTTCACAAATTTGTTATATTTTTTGTATTGTGAAGATGATGAATTTGAGATACGGGATTAAATATTGGTCTTCCACTTAAAAAAAAAGATAATGGAAAGAATCTGACCAACCAGATGTTTGGTTGATATTGAAAAAATGTTATTTAAATGTTTGAGGCTCTGACATAGTCGATATCATACAGATTATAGACGGTCATAAGATTCACGTAGCAACCAAACATCCATGGATTGTCCCATGCCTAATTTTATTTTATTATTAATTATTAATTTCTCCTGAATTACGAGAATGCCCTTTTTCTTTTTATATAAAAAATTAACTGGGTGGAAAGCTTTTTGAAAAGAGTAAAACCCCATAAAATTCTCATGCAATAATAATTCCTGACTTTTTGTATTGTTTAATTATTTTCAAATTAAAAAAAAAAGTGATTGAATAATTTCTAATATTATGTATTGATATCATAATAGTTCTTATAAATTGATTAAAATAATATTGTTATAGAATTATATGTGATGCATAAAGTGTTACCGCACGTTACAAAACACGTATGATTCAATATCAATTAACAACGTTAAAAGATTCATCTATCACTGTTCAGAAATTATTAAGTTACTTTTTTCAAATTTAGTAATAATTAAATATAACAAAAAGTATATAAATTATTATTGAACCAAATTATAAGTTTGGGAATTTTTTACCAAAAGTTGAATCAATTTTCGGATATGTAATTTCTCAAAAAATTTGTTAGTCAACGGAATTATCTGATTGCTAGGCCACGACGTGGCGAAAATGTAAGGGTACTTAACTACTTTTCAAATGTCGCGCAGCTTCCACGCATTATTTATATGGTACGGCGCATTATAATGGTTTTTAAACACACACAGCAATGATAAATAAACATAGGTAGATTAAATATAAAATTTGCAAAGTTCCCTCAGTTGCAATCATTTGCAAATTACTACTTACAGAAATTACAGTTCAGTCTTTTGCATTTTTCATATTTACGATTTGTTCCTCAAACTTCGCAAATCGTATGTTTTCGTCACCACTTTTTGGTAAATCAAACATTTTTGTCCACTTCTCGGTAAAAAAAAAAAGGATAAAAAATTGGGAAAAGATCTTTTGGAATTTGGGGGGGTTTAGGGCTCGCCGGCCTCTACATCTCCGTCTTCCGACGCCGAACTTCCACCGTCGATGTCCTTTCCCGGCGAATCTAGCTGCACGCATTCCGGCGGTTCCGTGCTGTGACCATTCTCCGGATCGCGATTCCTCCGCAGATTGTCTCCCCTCACGACGTTCAGCACGATCCCATTATGTGTCCTCTCCGTCTGAAGAAAGTCGCCTTCGGTGACTGTGATGCTACACGAAGCACTCAACTGGTTCTCCGATCCTCTTCCTCCGCCGGAGGGTGAATTAGGGTTCGTCGCCAAGCCTCTGAACACCGGTAATTCAGTGTTGACCGTGTCGAGATTCTGCACGAACTCGATGAACGTCTGAGCAGACGTTGTCCTCATTAATGGTCCCCCGGATCTCGTCCAGTCTCCGACGCCGTCGGCGGATTCGGTGTCGCTTCCGTCGTGCGAATTGTTGCAGTTGGGGGATCGGTTGATCCTGTTGGATCCGCCCACGGCTTGTTGGTACATAGACGAAGCTTCTGCGAGAAGATCATCATCCACGGATCCGGTTGAATTCTCACGTGCGATGCAATTCCAGGACGGAATTCTTCTGGAAGCATTGAATCTTGTGGAGCCGGCCAAAGCGTGTTGCGATGAGGAAGATGGTGGTACTGCAGCGGCGGGGCTCCCCGCGGCGCGTTTGAGGCGGCGCGTATGGTTGAGGACGGAGACGCACTCGTCGAGTGCGAGTTCGATTCCGCAGTTTGCTTTGATTGCCGCAAGCTTCTCCCAAGTGCATCTTCTTCCTTGGTTCGCCGCCTTTTGGATCTCTACATTTGTAGGGTTCTGTATGAGCTTCAAGCGGCGCGTTTGAGGCGGCGCGTATGGTTGAGGACGGAGACGCACTCGTCGAGTGCGAGTTCGATTCCGCAGTTTGCTTTGATTGCCGCAAGCTTCTCCCAAGTGCATCTTCTTCCTTGGTTCGCCGCCTTTTGGATCTCTACATTTGTAGGGTTCTGTATGAGCTTCAAGTACTGAACACAAAGCACACAGCTTACGAAATCAGGAGAAAACCTGTGATATGATCCAATCCATATTGGAAAGATTGGATTTTGGAACTTTGGACTGGTATTTTACAGTTTCTTATCCGTTTGTTGTCCGAAATAGATGAATTTTCACGTGGATTGGCTCTGATTACCTGAGATAGCGTGGCGGGCATTACGATTGTGACATCGCCTTCCCAATCCTGAGCGAAAAGCTTGGCGACTTCCCTCAGAGGAAGCCCGAGCTCGAGTACTTGGTTGCATCTGTGTTTCACTTCCATCTCAGCCAGTTGTGCGAGCTTTTTGGGATGAAGACGACATATTCAGTGCTTTACCAGATCAAAAGAGGGAAGAATTTGCGTCAATGATTAGAAAAAAACTGTTTCTTTTGAATCAAGTAACTGTACCTTGGCCGCGAAGCTGCCACCGATACCTCTGACGAACTCCTTCAACCTCAAGAATGGTGCGATGTGAGGGTTGGCCTGACTCACGATGAAATGATTGACATTGAAAAGCTCTTTGAGTAGCGTCATGGGTAAGTCGATCTCCAAACTGCCATCCCTCCACCGTCGAACTGATGATTCCCCGGAGCTCTCTTCGGGATCTAGATGAAAAGGCGGATGGTAAGGAACAATCTCTCCGCTTCTATCTTTAGCCATTAGTTCTTGTGCCTCGAAAAGGCCTGGGAACGCACACGAAGCAGTGACCGCACTCCATATGACAACATGTGGGGATGTCAGATAGTTAAGGCACCTCGGAGGCTCGTGCTTCCTAGGGGAACAAACTGTGATCCCGAGAATCCGACCCGTCATGTCGTAAGCTTCTTGGAAGGTGAGATTGTTGGTGAGATTCCTCAGCATCCACTGCAACTGCCTGATCTCATGAACCGCGCCTTGCGTCATGACCCGTTTCACGATGGCGAAAATCCCACCAAGCTGATCGAAGAACTGAAGAGAATGCCAAGAGCCTTCGAAGAAGCTCTGAAGCTCGGGCCAAGATCTCGTGGCCACGACTGCACACATTGCCGATCCAACGCTCGAACCAGCGATGATCCTCGGCAGTAATTTGTGTTCGACCAAAGTCTTGACCACGCCGACATGAAACGCTCCAAGAGAAGCTCCTCCACTTAGAAGCAGAGCAGTTCTCCCGAAGGCGTGCCTTGTCTCGTGCATGTAAGATAGCTTCTCCTCGAGAGAGAGATCTTCAGTGTCCGTGTCGCAGACCATCCTCAACTGGGTCGAGACCTCATCGATGTACTCTTTGATGAGTTTCGGCACCTGAAGCCGACCCTTGTGAAGCTCAGGGTTACACATGTTGCCGAGGTTTCGGACAAGATCAGCTCTCATGAAGAAGACGATGTCTCTTAGAGAACCCTCCTGTCTTCTGTGTCTGAGCTCTTGAAGCTTGTTCCTAACGAGCTCTTCGTCGTAAAGATAGGATTCGTTCATCTTCGGAGTTTCCTTGTCGAGCATTTTCGCGGCGTGAGACCATTCCTCGTACGTCAACGCAGTCCTCGTCATGTTCCTCCAGAATTTCCTCCGGTACGCCATTTCTGCCCTCGCTTTCAAGCTCGTGTAGCGATTCAACAGAAACGCAATCGTCGAGACCATTATCAATATCCCCTGTGGGTTCCTGGGGTGTAACCAAGACATGATTGGTGAGAGAAGAGCCCTGGTTCTACGGAAGAAACGCACGAGGAATCTGAGCAAACGGTGTTTAAACTGGGACATGGACTTGCAGAAGAGGATCCGAAAGGCAATCGTCCTCCCGACTAATGTCGTGGGTCCGATTGAAAACGGATCAACGCTTGCCTCGTTGCTTATATCCATGTCCTCGATCCAAAAACACGAGACCTCTCTTGGGAATGATTGATTATTCAATGGCCTTTTCCATGAACACGAGAAAGAAAAAAAAAACCCAGAAGCCCGATGAAAAACCAGAATTCAGAAGGTCCATCTGATCTGATAGAAGGCGACAATGACAGCACCGCGAGCGATGAGATGCATTGGGAATGC